TTTCTATCTCGCGATGGTTTTTCCATCCTGTAGATAGATACTGGATTACATTCTTCTCCTGAAAAGTCAAAGACGCCGTTGACAATCTCTTTCTCGAATTAGTGGATTGAGATTCGGGTCTGTCACTGATGGCAATAGAGCGTAGCCTTTCAACTTCTTGAAATTGTAGGGCAGAGTTAGATTTGAAGATAGAATTGTTACCACTGCGGAGAAGAAGAGGTCATTTGAGAATAACTTACTACAGACCATCAGACTTCTTACGCATTTCCTTAATCTCATTCTTTAAGTCAAGATTTTCAGACCTCAGATAATTTAACTCTTTCATCATGCACATATAACCTTCTTTACAGAATCAGTGATACGTTTAGATTTGCTAAATCCCTCAACCTTGCTCTGCAGATCACTCCAGGATGATACGTCCTGTTCATCCATGCCTGCCCTCTTGCAACTATCAGAGGAAGCCATCAGAGCATCCATGTCTCGGGCACGACGACGTAATAAGAAGAAAGTAGCAGCAGACCAAATCACAACAACTACGCGGAGAAAAGAAGAAATGATGTATCTGTTACGGTGGCAGAGTTCCTTCAATACAAGCACTCAGTTGCCACTCTGAGCAAGGCAGATCCCAAGAAGTAATATTGAGGTCTCGATAAAAAGTCGACCAAATCCACCCACCTCGAAGCAAGGTTGTCGTCAAACCACAACGCAGCCGACGTTAACCGTAAAAAATCAATGAAGACGAGTCCAGAGGTCGACCAAGGCGCTCTCTCGAAGGCTGAGGTTATGACAAAGTGCTATATGTACCTGTACTGGTGGCAGAGTTCTTCAAACAAATTTTGCCCAGCTGCCATCCTGAACACCACTGTGACGAGTAAACTAATAAACAGCATGCAATACCAAGCAAAATCGTAGGTAGTAAGAAGTGTATTACAGATACCAGTAGAGAGCCGCCGCTCAGGCCACGTGAGGTTAATGTTCAAGAAATTGAGTCAATCCTTTTTCGATCTTATTCATCTCATTCCAAGCGTTAAAAAAAGGGTCTACTGATGTTTATTAGCGGCGTCACTTCCTTCGTCAATTTCTTATGCGGATCTTCTAGCGTTGCCTTGGTTCGTCGCTCCATCTCATCTTCTGTGTTCCCAGTGATCGCTTTCATCCAGCTTTAAATTACATCGCTTATTAACTGTTCTTCTCAGCATTACCCATACATCGCAAGCGCTGTCCTATCAGATTCAGCTGGATATGAGCTACCACTTGCCTGTCATGATGTCCTATTTCTGAACCGATCCAACCGCGTCCCCCGGCCCAGCCTGGACATCTCCTCTATGGTTGCCTATCAGAATTTGTGTCTATTGACCAGTATTTGGTCCGTTTCTGAAGTACCCAAATTTTGTGAATGCCCTAACAATCACGAGAAATTAGTACATCCGTGAGACGCCGATTGTATTTTTCTCATCGTTTGGTTCCAAATTATTGTATAATGTTTGGCTATGCAAGTGGAACGAGTGAAAGTTGTATTAAGGTATTTAGGTTAGTTGAGGCTAAAAATGCTCCAGAAAAAACGTTACTTCAACTCTTCTACATAGGGAATTCATTGGTAACCACAGGATTTTCCAAGAGGTTGACGAAGTTTGGAGCAGCAAACATCCTACTATGTACATATTGGGCTAAGGTGAAAAGGTTGCTTAGGGATAGTAGAGACGCTGCGCCAAGAGCCTCATACAAAGAGGTATTAGATCCCGATGGATTTTTTCGCTAAGATCAAGTGCAACAAGTCTATTTTACATTTCTAATTGCAAGCGTCATCAAGTATTGCAAACCAGTTTCATTAATCTGTTTGTACCAAACTGTCTGCTCAGGGAGCCTCTACCAGAGCTCTAATGCCTCCTGGTTCCATTAACCCATTGACGACCATGCAGTCCACATGTGGACTGCAGTTGTATTTTTTGTTTTATTCATCTAAATTTCAACTTTCTTTCAATTCTTTTTCCCAGAATATTATATCAGGCCTAAATGAAATTACATACAGCGTGGTCCTAGAAAAATCTTCT